ACTTCGGTCATTCGAGCTGTAGAGCAAACTAGCCCTGGCATTAAATGTAGCTCCTGTTGACCACAAAATGAGTTATACCCACATGGCTAAATTTGGCCTTCTGAGGTTTAGGATAATAAGCTTTCGGTCATATCTGTTTCAGCTTCAGATACATGCTTATTTAAAAGGCAAGGCAGCCCCCCCACCCTTTTGTTCCTGCTCAAGTAACTACTTATCCTATTCAACCTAGTTGAAGTTACATTCAAGTTACTGTATGACTCCTGGTAGGAGTGGAGTTAGTGAAGCAAATTACTCAATTCAGATAATCTTTTCTGTAAGAAAAAAAAAAAAACGTATCTAAATGTGGAATAAGCTACTAGAATCAGCAAAAGGCAAAAAGAAATATATATATATATATATATATAAAGGAAATACAGTAACTTGACTCAGCTAATTAAGATGTGTTTCCTTTGGCCTTCTTTGCCTTTGAATATTTTGAATAGAATCCTAGAAAACATGTAGATCATGATCTGACCTAGAAATGTCAATCTGCATGTTATTTCTGTAATCTGCATACAATTTTTCAGCCAAGGTCCATTTTTAAAAAAACAGAAAATGTTAGAAATCTTTTGTTAATGCTGAATGGCTCAGCCCCAGGGACTGCTGACTATAATTTGAACAGCCTAGTAGCACCAGCATCTCTCTTTGAACAGGGTAATGTGATTACCAGAACTGTCAGCAGAATGACTATTCCCTGGAAAGCTAATTCTTCAGCTGAGTCAGAGTCCCATCAGTTTGTCCCGCTAAGTATATATAATCCCTGCTATTTGGGTAGGGTTATGGCTAACAGTGCTAGTAGGGATTAGTTTGATTAGCATTTTCCTTACTTGCCTGTCTGTAAATTTAGCTTTTTTTTTGCATGAATATTCTAAAATCTAGCAACACCCTGTAAGAGTATCATACATATACACAGAAAGTGATTCAACTACTTTCTTCAACAAAGGGGAGGCCTTACTTAGAGTTCCGTGTCCCATTTTGGGCAGCATGAGTGACTGGTGCCTCCTGAATCTGTGGGGGCAGTTCTGCAGAATCCACCCCATCAGGGGGGCACCAGCCCTACCAACAGTATCAGTGTCAGCCGTCGGAGGGAGCACATGCACCCCGTACCAGTCATCTATGCTGGGCAATGCACTTCATGAAAGACAGGGACAAATTGGAAAGAGTCCAGAGAAGGGAAATAAGACCTATGTTCAGAGTTTTAGAAAACAGAACAGATAAGGAATGGTTGGAAATACTGACATTTAATCTAGAACTCCAGCAGAGTGTCAAATTTACTGTGGGACTCTTCACAGGCTGGATCCATGATGCAGTGGTGGCTGCAGTGTTGCCAGTGGCTGCAGAAGCAATGGTAGCAGAGGCAGTGGGCCAAGCAGCCACACTGCTGCAGCAGTGGCAGTGCAAGTGGAGGCAGACCAAGCAGCTGTGAGACAAGTGGGGTAGTACTGGTACAGCCCATGCATACACTGTACTGCTGACATGTCCAACGGGGCCTTGAGGTCCCAGCTTCTGCAGCAGCCCTTGCCTCCCTTGGTATCCCCAATCCCAAATTCTCTGGCCTCCTAATAGTCATATGCTTGATACTTCTCATGTAGAGTCTATTTAGTCTAGACTAGGGTGGGGAGAGGGGAGGTGAGATTTGATAAATCTTCAAATATAAGGAGGATTAGATATCAGGAAGAATTTTCTACCTGGAACAAGTTAAAGATGATAGAATCACTGTCATTGGAAGTTCTTAAATGCATGGTAGATACACATTTTTCTGGGATGGGCTCCTAGGTAAAGATGATTCTCTTTGTTCAACGTGGTAATTTCTCAAGTACCCTTCCAGCCCTGTTTTCCTATGATTTTAAGTGCTGTAAGCTAGATAGTGACTTTAGTTTACATGCGTATAAATCTTTGGTTTTACTCTTTATTTGCATAAGTATAGGGAAGCTCAACATTTAGCCCTAATGGTTTTTTATCTATTTTGTTGTATTCACTGTGAAGTCATTTTTAGACTATCCTAGGCACAGTCAAAGGAGAATTACTAATGCTTCTAAGAGATATATGTGCCTTAGTGAGTAACAGTACTGTTATTGTGTCCCTTTTCTCCCCTTCTCCTGACTTTTTCTATTTATGAGCCTCACTTGTGCTGAAGTTAAAGCGTAAATTCTTTGGGGCAGGCACTGTGTTCACACTTGTTTTTGAAAGAGGCAGAACATATTTTTTGGGTGCTCAGAAGTAATGTTCAGGTTCTGTGGTTGCACAGAGGCTGTTTATTTAAAATCAAGTGTGATATTTGAAGATGATGAATTAGTAAGCAGGTATTAACTATCTAGTCACAATTGATTTTGTGTGAATTACAACTCTCAGCTAGTCCATTGCAGGATCACCTGAAGCCTACTAAATAGCTTCCCTGTCATTATACAAATGGACTCTGAAACCTTGTTTTAAAAGTAATCCTCTTGTATTATGAGAGGAATAGAGTGTGGTGAACAGTGGTATATTAAATGCTCCTGAACTATCCACTGTTTATAACCATAATTCTAGCCCCCTTTTCCCCTTCCAGTAGGACAGCAATGTTAAAAGGTGTTTATTCTTGTGTTGTATCCTCTATGTCTACCTAAAAACCAAGTTCCAGTCTTTAACTAGGACAAGTAATAATGTCTTACATTAATATAGCACCTTTCATCCTAAAGTGCTTTATGAACCCTACAGAGTTTCTATTCCTGGCACTAAAACACAACTCTGTAGCATCAACTTTACCACACTGTGAGGGATCTCCTGTGTTTAAACAGTGCTTTCCAGAAAAAGTCAGTTAAATTCTGTTTGAAATCTAATGATCCTAAGTGAAGAATCTCACATCCAGAGTCAAGAGTGGACAAATTTAGGGCAAAATTGAATTTCCCAAATTAAAAAATGGTCTGGGATCCCAGACTTAACTTTTATGTTCTTAGGCGAGGACATGAACTTCGGTGAGGAGGAGGATAAGATATGGGTTTACATTTTCACCAAAAGATTTATAGGTTTCAGTGCCAGAGGAGATGATTATGATTACCTCACTTGACCTTTCATATAACACAGGGCAAAGAACCTCACTAAGTAATTTCATCTAAGACCATAATTTCTGTTTATGGCATAGCACATCTTTCAAAAAGATATCCAGTCTTGCTTATAGACTTCAACTGCTGGAAGATCTATTATATTGCTTGGTAAGTTTCCCAGTGCTTAGTAACCCTCACTATTAGAAATGGATGCCTCATATCTAGTCTAGCTTATCTAGATTCAGCTTTCAAATACTTGATTATGTTCTGATTTTTTATGCTATTTCATAGAGCTATCTACTATCAGAAATCTTCCCCTCACCCAGCCACAATCAACTTTCTTCTTACCTAAATCAATAAATAATTTAAACCATTTGTTTGAAAACACTTCCCAATATGTCAGTATCCTTGACATGCATGTACCAAAATTAAATGTACTGTTCCAATAGTGTGGCCCTCTATATATGATCCACATGCAGAGGTTCAAATTCTCCTTTTATTTTTACCTCTCCATGTGGAGAACTTAAGTTCAGTTGGCTATGTATCCTTTTTAGGGTTACTGCCCAAGATAGTCCCTGTAAGTAGGTTCAGTGCTATGATGCCAGGTCTGATGCCACCTGGTAGTCAGCCTACCTCCTATTCCTTCCAGGCTCTTAGCTTTCTCCTCCGTCCCTTTCCCTCCCCCAACCCTCTGTCCACCTGCTACATCTTTGATATTGGTTATTCTTATAATTTGGGAGGCTGTCATCAGTTACTGGCCTAGCCTTTTAGGCTGGATCCATACATGCAGGCATGTGCAGTTTGCACAGACTTCTTTGCAGTGCCACAAGCCAGATGTGTTGCACATTAAACTGTGCACAGCATTGCTAATTTGCAATGCCAAGGCAAATTTTGCTACCCAGATTTCCTGGTAGCAACCCCCCCACAAAACCCTGAAAAAGAATCTCAAAACATGCCAAAGTTGCATTTTCTAGGATAAACATGGAGACACAGAGACCCTGGGCTGCCTGCTCCCCCATCTCTGTGTGCTGCAGACCCCTGTGCTGAGGCCCCCTGCACCCCAGCCAGTTGCTCCCCAGCTGTCTGGGGAGCAGGGTGCCTCAAAAGAAGGAGCAGGCAGCCCAGCCATCTAAGCTACCTGGTCCCCCTGTCTCCACATGCCGCTTCCCGGATGGCTGGGGCACAAGGTGCCTTGATGCTGGGGCTGTCTGCTAGCTAGCCCCATGCTGAGGCAACCTGTGCTCCAGAACAGTGTGGAGTGCTTCTATAACACCCAATTAGCAGTCCATATCTGGGACTTGCTCTTTATCCTGTTTGTCAACTTTAGCCAGGGTGCTTAGTCACCACCCTTGCACTCTTTCACAGGCCTGCAGTTGGTCTCTAGTCCTGTAGTATCCATCTTCCTATGTACCCTTCTAAATTATTGGCACAACACTGGGTTTTTCCAGTTCTCTGGGACTTTTCCAGTATTCAATGCTGTACTAATAATTAGTGGTTTTGGTTCAGAAAGCTACTATGCCAATTCTTGTTAATACTCTTACAAACATATTATCTAGCCCTGCTTATTTAAAAATTTACTATTTAACATTGTCTTTGGCTGTTGATGGAAGAGAAATATTTCATTATCACTGGAAGACATCAATGCATCACCTTGCTTCTTTCCAATTACAGACCAGATCTATTGGAATATTTTCTGCTTCATGACTGACAATATGACTGCTCCTTTTCTGGCATCAGAGCTGTATCATTGTTGGATTTCATTTGATTTAAATAATGTATTTATATTATCATTAATCCTACTGGCCAAAGATCTTTCCTTAGTAACTTTTTCTTCCCTTCAAAATTCTCTGTATTTCATTATTTTATTCATATATATCAATTTCTTATTTTTTCCATCTGTTATATATTGCCAATGGAATTCCCCATTAAAATAATGTACATATAAGTCCATCCCTAAAATAATACAATACACAGTAATGTTTAAGTGAATAATCTATTGTTAAATAAAGTCAAAGGATAAATGGATTCCCACTGACATCAAATGAGCATTGGACCAGGCCCTGAGAGGGGAGAGTATCTCACATGCACCACAACATGGCTTGCAGTATGGATGCTTTCTTGGAGGTACTCCATGCAGGTATTAACACCATGCAGTACTGCCTCCCTTGTGATGGTGCCACAGCTCAGGGTCTCAGCATTTTTTGCCACTTGCAGAACTTTGCAGTAGATCAAATCATGTGCTGCTCTAATTGTTTATTCATATTAGAGTTGCACCAAGGAGCCCAAATCATGGACCAGGAGCCCAAATGTGTGCGCGGTACTATAAAAATGTAGAACAAAGTGATGGCCCTTGATTCAAAGATTTTGCTTGATATATCATTTAATTAAATGATGTTCAATAGGAAATAGCAGAGAAACCTATTTATGTATATTACCATACCACAAAAAGAGGCAGAAATGCTTTATTTTTGGTGCAAAAAAATCTGTTCTATGCACTGCACCATACAGAAAAAAAATCTTGAACTAAAATCTAGTAGTATATTCTACAACAGATCATTTTCCCTATGAACTGGAAATAAAAGGATACTTTCTCTGTCTTTCCTCCACAACTAAGCTTCCAGGGGCTGAATTCCACATCCATGTCCCAAGGAGGTAGGTCCTTCACTGATGAAACCTGTGTGAGTTTTTTTGCTAAAGTGACCAATGACCTTAGGATTCTGGCCAGGCTACAGTACATTTCACTTATTGGAGAATAACTAGATATGTTGAAGATCACCAATGTTCAATGTAATTTGAAGTAAACTAAACTACTAAACAGAAAAAGATTCCTTCCTCAAGAGAAGATAATTAACTAAGGGGGTAGGCAAAATCTAAATTACCTTGACTACAGTCTGCCTTGACATCACAGATGCTACCAGTTGTCCTTTTGCTGTAAACTCTCTTAAGTATTAATTTAATAATTAAGTTGTTGCTATTAGAAAGTTTTTCTTCTTTCTGTATGACTTTGCCATCAGAATTGCATTCCTTTGTATCCTGTATTTTTTGTCTCTTGACCACTACTTTACTTCTAAAGAATTCAGAGTCAATTAAATTCAAAGTCAGTCGGATAAAAATCTATATTCCAGTGTATCAGATAAATTAGCATAGATTACAAAATAGCCATAGCAATGTAAGTAATTTTTTTTTCTTTCAACATCCCAGAAGCTGATGGCCGCTGTGGATGCAGTAGTTAGTTTGCCAGAAATTCATTATAGCCTTTGCTAGTGCTTTACTAAAGTTTGGAATCTCTTTGATATCCCTTACCCACTGAGGCAGCTCAATCTGAATGGCATCAACAGTGCCAGAGTATTGAGAGCCAAAAGTTTTTGTTATATAACCACCACTATAATAATTCCCATTTTTTGGACTAGGATTGGTTGGAGAAGGAACACAAATGTACATTTTGTTCTGATCTTCAATAAATTTACCCAGGCTTCTGTGTCCTCTAAGCAATGATTCAAAGGTGACATTGCCCAGCTGGTTGGCAAGATATTGAATAGAAGAGCCTGATGCAGAAAATATCCCTGAATTGAGTGATGCTTTTGAAATGGTGTAGCCTAATTCTATCCATTGTTCAGGGTGTGCTTGGCCATGGATATCCACAATAAGGCCTTCTGTCATGTGCAATTTTGCAGACCTCATAAACCCCATGTAGTCTTCCCAGGCCTCTTCTGCTTGGGGAATTCCAAAGGTAGCTTCTTCCTTTTCTCTGTTAGCATCCATCTTGAATCTCTGGAGATGATTTATAACCACATGAGGGAAGAAGCCTTTAGTAATCTTTCTGATTTCTTTAGCAAGAGTCTGACCTACCTCTATGACATGCCTGTCTTGATTTGTAGCCACCTTGCACTTTTGAAAGTCTTGAACGGTTCCTGGAGGACAGTCATGAGAGAAGATACAAGAGGAACTGTTTGCATTCCAACAACCAGCATCTCTATCAGGGATGTCTTCAGGTTCCATTGCTCCACCATGTGGAACAGAAATAATTATGTTCATGTTGCCCAGCTGATATTCTGTGTAACTGTTGTGGCCATAGATAGTTCCTATAGGTTTCAGGAGAAAATATAAAATGCAAATGAAGAATAACCACATCTTTTCACAGAGGGCAGGAAGGTAAGTTATGCCCAGTCTATCAGTACCTAAACAAAAGCAAAAGGCAGATGGTAATAACATTTACAACTGGAATACATTCTCTGGTGTTTTATCATGGGGCAGAAAGTACTGCTTGAAAAACTGTAGTTAGAGATTAATCATTTGTAGTCTAACTGCCTTCACTGCAAAGTGGTGAGTACACCAATATATGAGAGAAAAGAACAGATGGACTTATGGAGTGTTGCCAGATAGACCTAATGTGGCCTCAGATTTCACTCACTTTCACAGACGACCCACCAAAAAGGTGGATGGCTTTGCCACATACTCAGAGTGTGGTGGGAAGTAGTGGAAAATGGGAGGACAATAGACCTCCCTCCTCTTTTCCAGGTCCCACCCCAAAAAAACACAGAAAAAATAGGTAGATCTGGAGAACTATTTCTAATGATTTTTCCCCCAACAGAACTTTGCCTATTGTCCCACCTAAAACATTAAGATGATTGGAGCAATTCTATAAAGTTTCAAAATCTTTCAGTGAAATTTGGAATGAAGTTGTTTTGGGGTTATTGGTTTGGTTTTGTTGCCATTTGTGGGTTTGCAGGCACTGAAAGCCCCTTTTGTTCAAAGTTACATAACTGTCAACATTGAAAAAGCTGCTAAAAAGTCCTTTTCTACCTCAGAGCAAAATGTTAAAAGGGTAAAAAGATTAGTGCTAGGAGCCAGGAGATGATAAGGTCTGGTCCTACTTCTGCTGCAGACTAACCATAATAACAACAACAAGCATTCATGCCATTAGAAGCCATTTTTATTTGGTACAAAGGACCATGAATGTGGCATATGAACCGGGGTGGATCCAAAACGGGTGCAGTGGCATAGTCACACCATTTCTTTCAGGTCGTGCAGCAGGAACAGAAGCCAGGGATTTTTTTTAAACCCCTGAATCAGGTAAGAAGTCCACGCTACCCAGCATCCTTTCCCTCTGTGTTCAGCAACATATTCTGTCCAGGGATTTCTTGGACAGCAGCAGTGGCAGGTCCTCCTCCCTGCCCATTCCCTTGTAGGTGTTCCCCATGAGCATGGGGGCAGACTTAGAGAAGGCAAACCTTCCTATTGCCACTGCTGCTGTCTCCAGCCGAGCCCAGCTCCCCACGGACCAGCCTGGACCAGGCAGGAGCAGATCTGGAGTTCGCCCCACCTCTGGAGCAGCTGGAGACAGCGGCAGTACTGGGCTAAGGGGATGAATGGAAAGGGAGAGGACATGTCACTGAGCATGGAGGGCAAGGGAGATGCCAAGAGCAGGCGGGAAGATTTTTACTTAATTTCGAGTCTTCAAAAAGTCCACAGCTGCTGCTCCTGTGGCATAGTCTGCCTGCCTCAGCGGGGTGGGGGAAAGTTGGGAGAGGGGGTGTAGTTGCCCCTGCAATTCTGGTCACTGCTCTCTCACCCCCTTTTCCAAATCCTGGATCAGCTCATGCTTGTGAATACTGTTTGGCCAGTGCACTTTATAGTTCCACTTAGGGAAACCAATATGTTTTAAAGACCTCAGTAAACCTTTCTATATCTTACATAGCTGCAATTCACATTGCAATTACTGATAGTTACAGTGCTTTCTAGCTCAGAACCATTATCAACACTTCAGATAAATCAGAATCCAGAATACTACTTCTCACAGAAATAAGTCAATTAAAAGAGAAGTAACATAGCCGGCTTAGCTACCTTCTGCTTCCACAAGTGCAGGGTAACAAAACCCAGCGCTGCCTCCATGGGTGCATGTAGAAAGCCAAAGGGGGGTGGGGAAATGCCTGCTGTGCTGTATGTTCTGTTTCCCTTGCAGAGTGCTTCAGTAAGCACACTGGAGAGACTATGGGGTGGTAGCAGAGTTGGGAGGATAGGCAGCTTGCCACTGCGTTCTCTTTCTCCTCTTCCTGCCTCTGGAGGGTGATATATTGCTGCTGATCCAGTCAGAGATGTCCCTATCACTGAAACATATCTTCCAGGATTTGACAAAGCAGTAGCCTGCAAGAGGAGGATACCATCCATACCCTCTGTAGGTGCAGTGCTGTCACTGAGACAAGACAGGGGCACAGGAGCTCCACTCGGACTGCCCTAACCTGCAGCAGGTCTTCTAAGAACCACTCTCCTTCTCTTGCGGGATTGGGGACTGTTGGAGAAACCATCTCCTGCTTCCCCACAGCAATCTTTCCATGGAAAAACTAAACAAACTCACCGAACTGCAGAAATTATTTGCCTTGGGCAGAATCTGGCCCAGGGATACAGGCAAAGCATCAGCAGCAACACCAAGGATGTCACCTCCCTCTCAAGGATGCAGATTTTCTTAGGGAGACTCAAGTTTACTGCTCTTAACTAGTGACACAGCTGGTCCTTCCCCACCAACTGCTAAGCTGTTTATTTATTATCTGCGGCAGCTGACATTTCTTTTGCAATTTCCTGTTACTGAAAAGAGAGTCAAATTGATTAAAATGTCACCTTTCCCACTGAAAACTCATGTTTTAAAGATATTCACAATCAGAGCCATATGTAACTCTCAGAACAAAACCCTCAAATGTGAGAGTCACCCAGAAAAGGCTCAGACTTGGGCTCAGGTTGTGGAGGTTTACAAACAACTTGGTGAGCTTAGGCTGATTTATGGCTTTGTCCAAAAAGCGTGTAGTGAGGGGCAGAATTAGGCTCTAAGATCCCCTGATTAACACGAGGCAGGAAAATATCCTACAGCCCACCCTAGTAAAAAGGCTCTCTTTTTTTCACAGGGAACACTAAGCCCAACATGATGGCTTTTCTGAAAAGAGGGGGCAACTGCACCAGGTGTGAGGCCTCAGGGCAGGGAAGGTGAGACTGATTCTCTCAGTTATCTATTTAAGGAGTGATCCTACACGCAAAACTCCCATTAACTCCACTGGAAATTTTATACCAACATGCCAAGTGCAGGACTTACACCTCAAGCTTCTTGCTTATAACGGAAATGTCAGGTTGTAACTAGTTTCAGTTTCAAAGTTTAGAGTAAACACTTTAAACTCCACTATTTTAAATACTAAAGGAATACTATTTCTAAACATCCAACTATACAAATGCCCTATTATTTTAACCTAGTCAATAGTTAAAACACTAAATTAAGGACTACTGACCTGCAAAGAATAATAACCAGGACTAACTGTGTCTCGGGTCTCGGTCTCTTCTGTTTGGTATCGCTTCTGAAGAGTGCCTCTGCTTCCCAGTTTAGAGTTATTTTGTTTTTTTAGCCTCCCTCTAGAGGCCAGTATGAGCCAAGCAGCCAGCTGAAAAAAAAAAATCTATATTCCCTCATACATGGAATTAAAAAAAAAAAATTAGAAAACAGAGGAAGGTGTAACAGTATAGGACCAGATCGGCATCCTTTTTGTACTCAGTCATTCCATGCACTCTTATATCCCATCACAAACACTATGCCAATACCAAAAATATGATCTCAGGCTAGCTCGAGATCGGTAATGGAGGCAGAACTTTTGACTATCAATATTTGGACCCTCGCTCCAAGCTAGACTAATGGTATTTGTGATTGTTCTCTTTTGCCATTTGTCCAACTAGCAAAACTGAGTCTATAACATTGTTTTCTCTGAGGTATTTTCACGAGAATAGTCCTAATGCCTTTTTCTTTCTTCAAAAGTGTGTGTGTGTGTGTGTGTGTGTTGGGGGGGATAGAATGTATATGGTCAGGTCACTCATTTCTCCCTAGCAGTGTGTGACAGGCTCACGACCACTGCACCAGCAGATGGGCATGCCCCACCTCCTGGGCTATGTTTCACCTGGGTCTATTTGCCCGCAACCAAAAAACAAAAAAAATCAAACAAAAACAAACAAACAAACAAAAATCATAATATAACAATACTTCAACTAAAATAGGTCAGATGGCATGGCGGGCACGGCAGCAATGCTCCCTTGCCAAGTGCTTTTCTTCAGCATTTGGGGTATGTCGGTGCCTAGTGCACTCTTCTCTCACAGATTCTTAAGTCCGTGATGCCCCTCGCTGGGCATGCTTTCTGGCCTGAGTTCCACCTGGCCAGGTACTATCATGCCTCAAGGTGCATCTCTCTGCACCTGCATGATGCTCACAATTCTGCCAGTCCCCTGCAGGTTCTCCCCTCGGTAGGCTCCAGCAATGTCCACTGGGCTGCCCTCTCCCAGCCCAAGCTGACTTGTGTATTCTTGTGGGGGTCATCGCTGATGCCAGAGAATGGTATTGGGTCTGGGCCACTCAACTCGCCAGCTGCAGCAATCCACCTGGCACCTGCGGGAGTCCCCAGTGCCGCCCGGGTGGTCCTGGCATCCAAGTTTTTCTGGGAACTTTAACACCCGGGAGAGCTACCGGACCCCTGCTGGCTCTGTGGCATGTGTGGGTCCTTCCTAGGTGCTCCAGTGGTGAGATGGGCATGTGCTGCCCCTCTGGGTATGCTGGCCTTGCACGGATTTGCTGAGTCCCTTCCAGCCACAGGGAGAGTGTCTGGCTCCACTGCCAGTGCTTCCACTCGTCTCCTCCTTGGCTCTTTTTCTGAGCTTCCTTTAAGCTCAAAGCTTTCTCGCACCTGACCAACTGGCAGAGCTCCTTCTGGCTGCATGGTGCTGACCGGCTCACCCGCAGACCAGCCACATGGACACCAGCACTGCGGTAGGTAGGTCTGTAGCCTGTCACACAGTGAACAACATTTTATTTAACTCAGAATTGTTCTCTGTTATAACTGAAGGAGAAAAGGAACTGGAAATAACTAGAGATAGTTGGATGAAAGGACCTCTAAGAAGGAGACAAACTTTTAATGAAGGTGGGAATTAAAGTGTGTGGAGGAAAATCTCTTCAGAAACCATCACAAGGAGGAAGAGGAGGTGGATCTTTAGAGTTCAAGTGATCTCTGATAGGCAGAGGAGCATTAGAACAAAGGTGGCAATGGACAAGACTAGCAGTGAGATAGGAACAAAACTAAGACTACAGAATTGGAACAAATCCTGCTCACCACACTGAAAGTCTCTCTGACTTAAATGTGAGACAAATGAGATCTGACCTATGGGTATTAAGAAGAGATGGGGCTGCTCCTGAATGGAGATTTGAATATGAATGCATCTGAAATTCCCAGTGACATCAGATAGAGTCTTTGGTGCTCAGCACTTCTCAGCATTAATTTCACCATTTGTTCCTCCAGAGCAAGACCTGCTTGAGATGACTAGGCCTGACATCAGTTCTGTTCTAAAGATATTTGTGATTGTGCTGCACAATTTCCTGGAGTTATTTTGATAATATTGATATATCCATGACCTTGAGTCACGGGTTCCTTTTTAAAGAGGGCACATCATTTATTGCAGAAGGGACATGGCTCTTGTACTTCAAAGCCAGGTTCTTCTGACTATAGATTGACATATTTTCTTACTATAAATTAATTCACATTCTTTATTGGTGAAGATATAGCAACAGCTACTCATGTCCTCATCAATTACCTATGATACTTCAGATGTAGTTTCTGTCACTCTTGGTATTTTCTCAGGAAGCACAAAGACAAGAGTCAAATAAAACTTAACTAGGTTTGACAATGCATTTCTCCTCACTACTCCCTTTGTATATTTTCCTCTAGATAGTTGATTAAGGGCTTTGCTACACATTAGTTTTAGGTGGCTCAAGGAGCTCTTAACCCCTGGACTGTCGGCACATTAAGACACGTAAACTAGATTTAATCACTCTTTAGGCATCTTAAAGTTACACCCGTTCAGGGAAGGTTTATCTCTGACCTGTGTGTCCCAGCTCATGTTCCATGAATGTGTGACCATTCCCCAGAGATAAGCCTCCCAAGTTTCAGTCCGCCAGTATCCCAGAATGCAATGTCCCCTCCTCCCACCCTCCTGTTCTGTCTGGATAACTCACAGCTGTAGCTCCTAGTCAGGCCCCTGATTGCCAACCCTCTAGTGGCAAGTCACAGCTGTGCGCCTCAGGGACAGTCAGAGAAGGTTTTTAGGCTGAGCGTGTGTACCTACTTTAAACTTAAGCTAACACTAACACTGATCAACATTTGCGAAGCTTAACATGTCATGTGTAACAAGGCCCTAAATGTCTACCAGGTCTCTACCCATTCTCCACTTGTATGCACAAAACCACATGCTTTATTTGTAAAGACACCTTTTCAGGGATGTGACAGGCCCTCACCCCGCAACCTTGGGGGTGGACTGCCCCTGAGCCTACTCACCCATCACTACTTTGGGTGTTATGTGTACCTCTGTAATGTTGCTTGTGGTTCTTACCATCTCAGGAGCACCCTCCTTGGTGCGTCTTCTGTGTGACTCCTCCTCCCTTATGTCCCACCCCCTTTCCACTTGGGTGTTATCATCATAAATCCCAGGCTGCTCCTTGATGTTGCTGCAGGTGGTCTGATGCATCAATGGAATGATACTCTAGTGTCACAGGAGCTTGCTGTGACCCATTACACTTAGAGAAAAAATGTTAACACAAAAGAAAAATAACATCACTCAATGTGGCTCAAACTGAGTGGTGGACAGAGCTCTGTTACCCCCACCCCCCTCACTGAGCTGCTTGCTTCCAAGCATTGGGGTTTACGGGTCTGCTTCCTCAGCCCTTTGTTCCCCTTTTTCTATCTAGCCCATTTTTGCCCAGGGCTTCTCCTTACTGCCCCTTAGCCAGGTGTCCCAGGGGCTCCAAGTGTTCCCTGCTGGGCCTGCTTATGGCCAGCAGTGGGTGTCCTCTGATGATGCACTTCAGGTGTGCGGATGAACTGCCAGGAAGCTAGGGCATCACAGGCCATCCCTCCAGGGTTCACCCTTGTCTGGCCACCCTCTCCTGTCCCCAGTTGACCCTACTTGTAGTAGGCTCTGGACTTGCACAGGCTGGCCAACTCTGCTGCTCTGGTGCAGGTTGCCCGGTACCAGCAAGTTGGTCTGGCCCCAGGCCAGCTACTGTCCTGAGGCATCCAGGCCAACTCTTCTGTCTGGAGCCTGTCTCAGGCAGGCCTGGGCCTGTTCCTTTGGCTCACCGGTTGGCATATGCAGCAGTGACTGTGTGCTCCCAGTGGCAAGGAGCACATCTGGTTCCGGTTCTGGCACCCAAACACTTCCTGCTGTGTTCCTGGCCACCGGGCCATTTTTCACCATGCGACCACTGAGCCATGCTCCAGTCAGGGGCTGGCTTTCCGGCTGAGAAGCAGCAGCTGTGCCGGTTGTAGTCCAGCCACCAGGGCTGCCGCACTGAGGTAAATTGGGTGGATGCCTGCCGCAAAGGAAAAATCCATTTTAAAATTAAGACATTCAGACAGACCTTTTGAATAGGTAGATTCTGCAATACACATCCAAGTCTTGGCATTTTCACTCACAGAAACACATTAGACTCACTGGACCTTGCCAATATGACTGCTATCATTTCAATTGCATGCAGGCAGGAGATGGATTTCCCCAAGAATGCATGTATGCAATACTTGTTGTCCAAATGCCTTATTCCAAATTATTGATGCAAGTACACATACATGTAATTTTTCACATAGAGAAGTGGAAGCTGGCTACTGATAATGCATATATACAGAATTTAGTAAAGAGGCAAAATACTGTGAGACCCTAATTCTAAAGTTCAAAATCAAAACTTTCATTAACTCCGTGGCAACTCCACTAAAAAGGACTAAGAGGTTTCATCTGGGCACTACATCTCTACTTCAACATTGAAAACCGTACTGTTAAAGGAGATTATATTCTTAATCACATAAATCCACATAGTTACAGAGAGTTATAGTGACTCCATTCTGGGCTATCTGTCATAGTTTGCAAACCACAAAGATGCACATTCAGTAACTAGCCAGTACAGCATATGCTTGTCTTACACAGTCACTTACTAATGAGAATCATGAAGAAAGATTTTGTATCAAGGTAAATGGTTATTTTTTCAAACTATTTTTATTCCATGGTTATGCTGTGGGCACCTATAAAAGTTCCTCTTTTTCTTGATTTTTAGTATACCCATAAAAAGAATGGGTTTGCAGGTATGTTGCACTGTACTGAGGATGTATGATTTTCTTAAATGCACCTGTTGGAGACAACAGTTCATTTCAAATGGATGGCTATGAACAAGAAATGATTTCTGAAGCTATCTGGATTCTTCTTGGCTATTTAAACAGCACCTTACAAAAAGGTTACTTGGGTTTCTGTGGCTGTTGGTCTAATTCATATCTTTTGAATTGTACAAAGATTCATGACTGTTCCTACTAAACATATGATTTTAGATGCCAAACAGCTATAACCTGCTTATGTAGCAAAAAGAGAGGAGCTCAAACATTTCTCTTACAAAACTAGATTTTCAATGAGCAAATTAGAGGCAATTTAACCAATGTAGCCTGTGGGGAGAACATTCTTGGCAGTCCATCAAAATATCTGTAAAGGGAAGCAAATAAATAGACCCGGTTTCATATGTTTCACCCAGCATAACAGAAAATTATATTTTCTGCTTTGAGAAAAGACGACCTTTTCATTTAAAAATGAGCAGCATTAAAAAGGAGTTAAAATAAATGACTGTGTAAAATTGTTCATTCTTTTATTTCTTGATATGAAATAATCATCAGGAAATGACATTTTTCTGATGTATTTTCTATTCCCAACTCTACATTTAATGCAACATGACAGCCATGGTAACAAAAATGCCAAGGACGTAAAACAATAGGATTCAATGGAACCATTTCTAGTCTTACCAAAACTTCTAAGCACATAAGCTAATCATGAAATTAAAAATGTTACTTGCTAGATACACCATCTGTCTAGTACATAACCAAAAGAATGTGTCACTTTCTGGCTTCAGCTGACATTCATGGGAAATACAGCAAAGATGCACAGGTGGTTTGCCTGGTTCCCTCTCAGTACGCTCTAGTGGGGTAGCTCACAGAAATATTACACTCATATTCCATCCTTAAAGGAGACATTGGTGAGCTACAAATACAGGGGTAGCCTCAGCTGGTATAAATCAAAATAACTCTGTTATAGATAGGGTATTGATCAGGATGATGGATTCTGGCCACATTGTCTTTCAAATGTCCCTTTATCAGATGTTTCCTGTATCATTTTAAATTCTTCATTCAAATACAGTTTAAAAATCTATGCTTGTTCACCTTTTGGTAAAGGTATTATATATACTATTTCAATTCCAATAGGCAAAGCAAAAAGATTGAGCAGAAAAACTGAAACACATTTTGGCTATTCATGGTTGGGTCTACATGACACACTGACTGCACGGTTGTTACTGCGCAGTCATTTAGTACGTGTATACACTTGTATACACTTGTATACAGAAGTACTAAATGACTATGTAGTAATCATAGTTACTATGCAGTAGTGTCACTGAATGGCTTTTAGGTGATACTGACTGAGCAGTAGGTCATTACTACAGATCAGTAGTGTCACATCACGCTTTGTGCCACACAACGCTACTGTGCAGTAGTAACGAGCTACTGTGCAGTCAGTGTCTCATGTAGAGGGGACCCATGTCTCTATACGTTTAGCCCTGTGCCCAATAAGAATAACTTCAGTGAAATAAAGCGCATTAAAGACAGGTCAGTTATGGTTTAATCTTGTGTACTGATAGCAATATTTTTAATGAAAGAAACAAATACATGAAAGAGTAAAATAAGTTTTATATATATATATATATATATATATGTTTTGTTTTGGGTTTTTTGGTTGTTTTTCTGTGTTGTGGATATATATATGTAACCACTACACAGAAAAAACAACCAGAAAACCCCAAAACAAAGAACAAGATTCAATCACACTGTTCTTAAAAAGTTCAGCGTTAAATATTGGTTCAGGGCAAACTATTGCAAACATCTGAGTCACCAGAGAATTTAATGGTCCAATGCTCTGTTCTTTTCAATTTTTAAGCAACAAGACAAATGTTGCTAGGGGAAAATAATTTATTCTCATATAAAAAATAACTTTATAGAATCATAGAAAATGAAGATCTGAAGGGATCTCAGGTGGTCATCTAGTCCAATCCCCTGCTCAAAGCAGGACCATCCCCAACTAGATCATCCCAGCCAAAGCTTTGTCTACCTGGGTCTTAAAAACCTCCAAGGATGGAGCTTCCACCACCCCTCTGGGTAACCTGTTCCAGTTTTACTATCCTCCTTATGAGAAAGATTATCCTAATATCTAACCTAAAATTCCCTTGGTGCAACTTGAGACCATTGCTCCTTTTTCTGTCATCTGTCACCACTGAAAACAGTCTAGCTCCATCCTCTTTGGAACCACCCTTCAGGTAATATTTGTCCAGATCCTTTTTGTAGTGGGGGGCCCAAAACTGGACACAGTACTCCAGGTATGGCCTCATCAGTGCCAAATAAAGGGGAATAAACACTTCCCTAGATCTGCTGATAAGAGTTCTACTAATGCAGCCCAGTGTAAAAGGCGACAGTTTAATCAGTTTGACTCTCTTTTCAGTAACAGAAAATTGCAAAAGAAATGCCAACTGCCACAGATAACAAACAGCTTGGCTGTTCGTGGGGAATGAACAGCTGTGTCACTACTTAAAAGACTTGTAAACATAAGCCCAATGCCGTAAGCCTTCTTTGCAACAAAGCCACACTGTTGACTCAAACCCTCAAACCCAACTTACTGTCCACAGTTAACGTCCAGGTGCTTTTCTGCAGGGCTGCTGCTTAGTCAGTTGGTCCCCAGCCTGTACCTGGTACATTGCTCTATCCTAAGTGCAGGACTTTGCACTTCACCTTATTTAACCTCATGAGATTTTTTTTGGTTCAATCCTTCAATTTATCTAGGTCTCTCTGAATGCTTGCCCTACTCTCTAGTATATCTACTACTCTCCTGAGCTTGGTGTCATCTGCAAACTTGCTGAGGGTGTACTCCATACCATTGTCCAGGTCACTGATGAAGATATTGAACAGAACCAGTCCCAGGACCAACACCTGGGGTACTCCGCTTGATACCAGCAGCCAACTAGACATTGAGCCATTGATTACTCCCCTTTGAGCTCAATAATCCAGCCAGTTTTCTGTCCACCTTACAGTCCATTTATCCAACCTATACTTCCTTAGCTTGCTGGTGAGAATGTTGTGGGAGACTGTATTCAGCCTTGCTAAAGTCAAAGTACAGTACATCTCATCCACTGCTTTTCCTGGATCCATAGAGCCAGTCATCTCATCATAGAAGGCAATCAGGTTGGTCAGGCATGACTTGCCCTTGGTGAATCCATGTTTGACTGTGCCTAATCACCAGGAATCCTGGTTTTCTCTGTTTAAAATTTTCAAATTCTCTGATTTAAAAAAATCCAAAATTTATATTTTTCCATAATTCAAATGAAATGTCACTATATATATAGGTATCAGCTGAACACAATGTTTTACTGATATATTTAGTTTTAAAGCAATTTGGAAGCCTACCAATGCCTCAACTATTATAATAAAATAAATTCTAAATACCTATATATTTTGGCATTTGATTTAGTGTTTATTATCATAGAAAATCAGAACTCCCTCTGCTCCCTTTGCTCACCAGAATGTGGGTCCAGTGGCAGCTGTCCCCCCACACTGCTTTGTGGTGCTGAGAAGCCCTGATATGCTAGTGCTCCTCAATCCCAAGCCATAGCCCCTACAACCCTGCTGCTGCCCCTTGCTCCCGACCTGTTGTCTCCCACCCCCAGGCTCTAGCCTCCCAGTATGTGGGGAAGAGGGGAGTGTGGGGCAGGGAGGAGATGTGTGTGGGGCAGAGGAGATGCCCATAGGCAATATCATAAACAATGCATGGGCGGGGGTATTTACCCCCCCCAGATATGTGTGCCCATAGCAAGATACAGGGCTGCAGCCTGGCTGGACTAGCAACCAGACCACCTTCATAGCAGTGGGCAGGACCCAGCACAGGAACGTGGAGAGGGTAGTGAGACTTGCTGCTGCCGCCGCCAGTACTGCTGTGCCACTACTGCTGCCACTGCCACTACCCCCACGGCAGCTGTGCCTCCATGGAGTAACACCATGCCACCAACAGCATGAGGAGTAATGGATGGGGGGCAGGAGTCCATGCTGCCCTCACCTCCTTCCACTGCTAGCTGCTCATGTGTCAGACCATGGCTGTACCCTGCACCCATGGCCTGGCCACCACCATTCCCCTCAGGCCACCTGAACTGCACACCACCCAACCTTCCCTCCAGGGTAGAGCTACGGCCTGGCACAAGTGACTGGTGGCAGGAAGAGGTGAGGGCAGCTTGGTCCCCCACATTGTCTGTTACTCCTTGTGCTGCTAGTGACATGGCATTACTCTATGGTGGTGTGGCTAGTGTGGGGCTCCTGGTGGTAGCAGTGGTGGCAGCAGTGAGTCTCACAGCCCTGCTCCACCTGCCCACACCAGGCCCCAGCCAGTGCCAGTTCGGCCAGGCTGCATCCCCGCGCCCTGCTGTCAGAGACAACTCGAGCAGGGGGCAGGGCCCAGGGCAAATCAACCTGTGTGGGGCCCTGCCCCCAGACGCAAGGAAGCTGGCGACAAATTCAGCGGTGGGGAGGCAGGTGCCAAGAGGCTGGACATGAAGCCAGTGGCAGCACGGAGTCACCGCAGCCAATTCACAATGCTCCGCAGGGCCCCACAAAGCGCAGGGCACAGGGTGGTTGACCCGATTCGCGTTCCCTCCCCCCCTTCCCCCCGGGACAGCCCTGCTTGCTCTGGGTACAGAAATTTGGGGAAGGCATCATGTGCCCCCCTCAACATGTCACCTATGGCACCTGACCCCTCCCTGGGATTGCATGCAGTGGCAGGGAACCAGCCCCTGCACTAACCTCCCCAGATGAGTCACCTGTGGCTCCGTCCCACTCCCTGGCTAGGGCTGCCAGCCATGCATTATTGCCCAAAGCCTGTGAGCAGCATACCCTGCAGCTGGG